GCGAAGCCACAGAACATGGTGCCGAGCCCCGGCAGGGAGGCGTCGTACAGGCCACGGAAGGCGGGCTCGTACCCAGGAGCGTCCAGGAACCGCAACAGGGAGCCCAGGGCCTCCGGGTCGGCCCAGTCGTCCTCCGCGTCCAGGCAGAAGGAGGGCTCCTCCGTGTCTGGTGAGCTTGCTCCACTGGACGCTGATTGGAGACCCCAGGACACTGGCTCCTCAGGGCAGCTGTGGCGGGACTTACATTGTTCTAGAACCTTCTTCACCTTCTGCAGGGTCTCATGTGGCTCCGGGTGCAGGCCAGACAGAGGTGTTTCTGCAAGTTACCAAAACACCAGAAGGATTAGAGTCTGGGGCAGCATGGGGCAGGGATGTCCCTCCCCAGGCGCAGCGTCTGGCAGATACTGCTTCCCCAGGGAATGCCCAGCGCCCAGCACACAGTGGGAGCTCAGCGCACAGTGGGAGCTCAGCGGGAGCTCAGCGCACAGCGGGAGCTCAGCGCACAGTGGGAGCTCAGCGCACATTGGGAGCACAGCACACAGTGGGAGCTCAGCGCACAGTGGGAACACAGTCGTATGGTTACAGGGAGAACACAGGTCAGTCTGGCCTTTTCTTATTCTTCCCTGTTTGAAAGCAGCGGCAGGAGACTAAGTGTCCTCGCTCTGTGACCACACAGAGACCCCTTTCCCTTCAAAGCCACTCAGTGGGACACCCATTCAGTGCTGCAACTGCCCACGTGTCTCCAGTCAGGTGCAGCGATCCTGTGACATCATCAAGAGCCAATCAGAGGAAGGGATTAGCCTGAGCTCTAAAGCCAGCCATGGAACTGAGAGAGCCAGCCACGGAACCGAGCCAGCCACGGGACTGAGAGAGCAAGCCACAGAATTGAGAGAGCCACGGGGCTGAGAGAACCAGCCCTGGAGGAGGAAGGCCCCTTTCTCTCCTGGGGCGACTTCCAACCAGAAAGAGTGGGAGCGGCCCCACCCCAGGCTCCACTTCGCCCTAAAGGGTTTGAGAAGCGGAGGCCACGGTCTCTAGAGGGTTAAGGAGAGAAAGGGCGGGGGCTGGAGAACATGGGGACCTGGGACTGTTGGCTGTGGAAAGAGCCAGGCCCGAAAGCTAGTCCAGTTGCGGAGCAAACACGCCCGTTTCCTGTTGGGAAAACACGGTTGGGGAAGGCTGGGAGGAGAGAAGCAGCAAAGACGCCTCTGTCTCGGATCTCGGATCCACGTGTGAAGGGCTCCAGCCTGGCGGTGCCTGTTGGCCGCGCGGTCGGGCGTCAGTGCAGGGCATGTGGCTCGCTGGCCGGTGTCCGACTCGACTAGACATTAGATTTGCTAAGAAAACACCCAGGTTGGCGAGGCCACAGGGCCCTCCCGGCCTGTGCTCCCGGGGCTCGCGGGGCGTGAACCCCCTCCTCCGGGCGGGGAGCCCACAGCGTCTTCCTGTCCTCACTCCCCGAGGCTCGGAGGGTGCCCTGGGACAGACCCGGGGGAGGGGCTTTCTCACCGACACCCCAAAGTGGCAAGCTTTCTCACAAAGCACCCCATTCGTGTTTGTGCTCCGATGAGGCCTGCTCTCGGGGACCTCAAAGGGGCCTTGGGCATTACGTCTGGGCCTCTCCCGTGCGGACCCTCTGTTGGGAGGAGGGAGGAGGGCTTCTCCCTGGACCAGCCCCTCCGGGAGGGAGCAGGCCCCCGAGGGACTTACTTCTGAACATAAGGCTCCAAATTCAGCGCCCGCTTCACCCTTAAGCAGAGCCCGTGGGACCGTCAGCTGCTGGGGGTGGTGCGAAGGAACCCAGGGCCGGGCATGGAGGGGACCCACCTTAGCTGGGGACAGTGTGGGGGACCGGGCATGGAGGCGACCCGCCTTAGCTGGGAACAGCGGGGGGCCGGGCATGGGCTCGGGCATGGAGGGGGCAGGGCATGGGGTCTGGCATGGAGGGGGCCCACCTTAGCTGGGGACAGTGTGGGGGACCGGGCATGGAGGCGACCCGCCTTAGCTGGGAACAGCGGGGGGCCGGGCATGGGCTCGGGCATGGAGGGGGCAGGGCATGGGGTCTGGCATGGAGGGGGCCCACCTTAGCTGGGGACAGTGTGGGGGACCGGGCATGGAGGCGACCCGCCTTAGCTGGGAACAGCGGGGGGCCGGGCATGGGCTCGGGCATGGTGGGGGCAGGGCTTGGGGTCTGGCATGTCTGCTGGGACCCGTTGCCACAGTGGAGGACGCTCCACCGGCACCTCCTCCAGCCTCCAGGGCAGGACCCTCTCCCTTAACGTTCCCCAAGGAGGAGTGAGGGCCGTGCCCAGCACCCACGGGCGCCCAGCTCCACAGCCTCTGCCTGCGTCAGTCCCGAGGCCCAGCCGTGACCAGAGGAGCCCATGCCGCGTGGAGGAACCCACCTTGCTCTTCTGACGGCTCAGCCTCAGTTTCTCCGAGTCTGTCTGAAAGGAGAAGAGAGAAGGGTCAGCCTCCGGCCAGTGCCCTCTGACCCTGGGCCGTGGTCCTGCAGAGGGGGTGACCCCCGGATGGTGACACTCCCAACTCCAGCGCCGGCGAGGGGCGGTGGGGCTCAGGCCCACCATTGAGAGGCCGAGAAGCCACACCTCGCAGGGCCTGCCCCCACCGCACCCCTGCAGGGCTGTCTCCCACGAGGGGCTGTGGCTTCCACCCTCGAGGCTGCGGGCTCTCCCAGGGAACAGGGTGCTCCCCTCACCCCAGGGGCAGCGCCTCCCCAAGCCTCAGTGTCCCCCTCTGTGAAGTGGGTACACTAGCAGCTCGCTGGCTGCCACAGAAACCACATGAGAAAGAGCTGAACAGAGACCTGCCAAGTGACAGCCCCTGGGAGACCACGCGGCGGCCGGCAGGGAGTGCTGACCCCGACGCCTCCCCCGAACCAGGGCCCCAGTGTGGGGTCCTGGGAAAGAGGAGAGACCGCTCGCCAGGCTGGCGGAGGCCCAGGCCGGTGTGAGCGCCGCTCAGAGAGGAGCAGGGCTACGTGGGCAGGGTTCTCACAGCTGCTGGTGGGAAAGGTCTTGCCACACATGTTCACAGCAGACAGATGTGTGTGTGTGTATGTGTGTGTGTTCATGTCTTCATGTGGGCGTGTATGCATATGCATGTGCATGTAAGTATGTGCACATGTGCATGTGTATCTGTGTATCCATGCAGGCGTGCACCCACGCGTGTCTATCTCCATCCAGGGGGATGAAGCCGTGGGTGACGTTTGTGAGCAGTGCAGCGACTGGCCAGTCTGTCCTGGCCCCATCCCGTCCGTTTCCTTCCGTCGCTGGGGACACGCCTCCGTCCTCTCCCTCTGCACGGCCTCAGGAAAAGCTCCCACCTACCCAAGCTGTACGCCCTGCAGATGTCCGAGCCCGACGTCCTGCTCAGCAGCCGCCGGGCGTCCTCCTCGGAGAAGCGGCCCTCCCTGCTGAAGAAGGCCCGCTCGTCCTCATCGAGGAAAAGCACGCTGTCCAGCCTGGAGAGACAGAGGCCTCCCTTCACACCGCGGCTCCCACGGTGCCGCCCAGGAAGACCCACTGCGCTCCCTCGATGACAGTCCCTGCACACCTACTGGGTGCCCAGCAGTGAAGGCCCCAGATCACAAACAAAACCAAACATCCTGCCTCCCAGGGAGCCTCGCCTGGCCAGCAGCAGGCGCTCAGAGCAGGGGCTGGGACAGACGCAGCGGGTCACAGCAGCCTGGGGAGAAGGGCTCTTGGGCCGCCTGCAAAGCCCAACCCCAAATGCCCCCTTCCCCGCCCCCCGCCCCAGAGGCCTGCGTGACGGTGCAGGCAGAATGGATCCCTCCACACACTCAGCTCCTCACACAAGCCCCACGGTGCTCCCAGGCACCCCGCACAAACCCGCACAAACACGCGTGTGCTCTGTGAGGTCGGTGGGGGGAAGACAGAGGACACAGAGGGAGGGGCGGGGGGAGAGGAGGAGGCCACTGTTGCTTATAGGACTATGTTACCCGCAGAATATGGAACTTTGAAATGCACTTTGAAACTCAGGGGATGCTGTTCTGAGAAGGTAAAGGGAACCTTAGAGCAGCTTGTGGGACATTGGACAAAATAAAGGTCAGAATGTCCGTGTCATAAAAGACAAGAAAGGCCGGTAACTGCAGGCGAAGGGGACATGACGAGGAGACAGGACAGCTGGTAACATGTGGTCTGGAATGTTCTCTGGCTAGAGCGGGCGTATGGGAAACTGGCGAATCCGAGTGGGGTGTGTGAGGACGTGTGGGGGTTCATCCTGGCCTTGACAATCAGACAGGGGTTATGCAAGCGGATGTCTGGTTTTCAAAACACTGAATGGTTTTGGAGTAAAGAACATCATGTTCTCAGTTCCCTCTCAGAGGGCCTAGGGAAGCCGGGAAGTGGAGAGAAAAGAGGAGAAACTGCGTCGTCCCGTGGGCACGCGGGCCATCTGGGGGGAGGGTGCCGGGACCTCATGCTGTCACGTGACCTTTCCCGAGTCTGCAGTTACGTCAGAATGTTAGGAGGGAAAGAATAGCACAGCTGTTCGCTAAACAAGGGATAAAGCCCAGGCTCTGCAGCAGGACAGACTTCAGTAAGATTGTCGAGTGACTGAGGGAAGTCCCAGGGCAGTGATGGCGAACCTATGACACGCGTGTCAGAGGTGACACGCAAACTCTTTTTTGGGTTGATTTTTCTTTGTTAAATGGCATTTAAATATTTAAAATAAATATCAAAAATATAAGTCTTTGTTTTACTATGGTTGCAAATATCAAAAAATCTCTATGTGACCCGGCACCAGAGTTAAGTTAGGGTTTTTCAAAATGCTGACACGCCGAGCTCAAAAGGTTCGCCATCACTGGCCTAGGGTCTCCTGCTAAGCAGGACCGGGGCCCGGCCCCGACACACCTCTGGGTTAAGATACAAGAACCACCTGGCCAGCGGGGCTCAGTGGTTGGCGTCCACCTTCGGACAGGAAGGGACACTGGCCCTGGGGACAGGGGATGGCAGCCTGGATTCGCTCCAGCCCCGGACGTGGCTGGGAGCAGACTGGGAGGCGTGGTCCAGGATGAGCCCAGCCTTGTCACCTGTGAAGCAGGTGGCAGCCAGGTAGGCAGCCGAAGCGTTCCCAGGGCGAGGGGCGGGGCTAGGAAGGGGCGGGGCCTCAGCCACTCACTCAGACGCGTGGCCCTGCACACTGACGAGACTCGTCCGC